TGCAGTTCTCTTAATTTATCCTGTCAGTCACTTGTAACAAGAAAAGTAGATGGAATCTCTAACATGAAAATTTTCATACCTTGTAGGATTTTATATAGACTTTAAATATTTGCTGTGATCATGTTTAAGTATTCTTGTCATCTACACAAGGATGTAAACTGTTTGAATCCTGCTAATTTTTTAGCCATGATAATTTATTTTGCTCATGAACTTTGTAGTCTAATTCTGTCCTGAATGAAAGTTGTCTACTTTTATCAGTTTAAAATTTGCCTTCTTTCATGTTCAAGGAAATGGAGAAAAACTGTTACTATGAGAAAAACAAACCACAATGGTTATTTCTGAGCGACTCCTAGTATAAACTTAGGCCATGTTCCATTTTATACATCTTCTCTGTAAGACAAACTCTTAGTTCTTTTCATCTTTCTTCGTGTAAGATAATTCCCATACCCCTGATGATTTTCATCACTTATCTCTCTGTACCAACAATAAACTTCATAGACCAACTAGAAGTGAATGCCACTCTGTTGTAATAAAATATTGTTTTTATTCAGGGGTAAAACCAATAGATAATAGATTTTCATTGAGTACTTCACAGTGGCTTTAGCTACCATGCTCTTGGCAACCATGCTAGAATTTGAACTCCTTCTCTCCCAGCTGTGTGCTTCAGGCAGTTCCCCTCCTTCCAGAGACTGAACTTCCTTTTCTGGGCCAATATTTGGGTCACTGCAGATGAGAAGTATTCTGAGTGCCAGCAGGGAGGCAGCAGGGTGACAGAGGAATTTGGGATTGAAATCCAAGTGTTACAGAAAGTGTAGATTTACCTAAAGCCACTGAAATATTTTATTCATTTTTGCAACAGAAAGTTTACATACTTGTAAGGAACAAAAATGTGGTCAACTTGGCAGTGTTAGGTTTATGGTTGGATTGAATAATCTTAAAGGTCTTTTCTAGTTTTAATAATTTATGTTAAACTATACAAAGAACTCACTTTTCTAGACTGAATTGCCATTACATTACTGTTTGCCATTAGCTGCCATCTAACTTACCTGTTAATAGATCCTGTTGAAATTGTGTAAGGTCTTGACTTAACATCAATCACTCATATGTGAAACTTGTTGTTCTGCATTGATCCATTCCCAAAGAAATAATAAATATATTTAACAAGCTCATTCATACTATGGAAAATTTGAGACACTTGCTATTTACCATATGTACAAAATGATAATTTATTAATACTCTTTGTTTTCTAACTTTTAAATCAGCTTTTGACTACATGGCATCATTTTAGACAAAAATAGACATGTATTTACATGTCATTTGAACTAGTCAGATCATTTAGCAGCTGGAAATGTGTTTACTGACCTTGATAATATTATATTTTAGAACTTAACAGCCACACCTGGTAGTGTGGTAAAATATCTGGAATTATGCTGTTTTTTTCCTAGCCTTCCTTCACTTTGGGTTAAAACAACAACACAATATTGAAATAGGCTGAATGCTTTGTAACTAAGACTATTCAATCACTAAAAAGCTTGGCGGTATCACTTGAAGAAGAAATAACATTATATGAAAGACTTTCCACTTAGCTAAAACGAAATTATTAAGTATTTTATTAACTGATTCTTACACTTATAAAAAAATTCATAGTGCTGAGGCTGGGAGTGCCCAACAGATTGCTGAAAAAAAGAGGATTATCAGAAATGCTGTCACCTGGATCGAGATCGGTGATCTTAGTTCACTTCTTAAGGCACACACCTTAAAGTAATATATAATTTCAGTGGGCAGGAAGCAAATGGATGCCACAAGTGACCTGGTTAGTCATTCCTTAGAGCTGCTGGAGCCAGACTGACAAGATTCTCTGATGGTGCTTTAATTGCTGCTGAAGGAATAATGTTTAGCTATAGAAGACTGCTTTGCTATCAGATGAATACTTTTCATGAACTTCGCATTCACACACAAGTAGCACTAACTGAAGTATAGCTAGCTAGGGCTTGAGGACTAAAGCTTATTATTTCTTGAACATCTTCCCCTAAAACATTTACATATGTCTCAGAATTAAGAAAAGGCAAGGAATAATCACAGTGTATTTGTGACTCTTTGAAGATACTAGTATAATATGAAATAATTATGCTCCTGTAAGAAATTGTTCTCTTTGGGTTCTTTTTTCCTTATATCTTATATAACTTATTACACTTTAAATGAAGAAAAATAACAACATTTTAAGTTCACTGTTAATACCATGGAAAGACTACATATTATATAATCTCATCCATTTGTCTTACCGTTATATTTACCTTTATATTTTACAACTGTTATTTTCCTGTTTTGAACTAATTTTGAAATCTTGAAATCAATCCTACATTTGATTATCAAGCAAATAAAATGAGCATCCTATCTGAGGAGGTCACAGTCACTGAAAATCAAGAGAAGTAATGAAAAAAAATTCAAGCATGAAAAATTTATTATTTGATAAGCAGCTGGTGATTTATGTAAAAAGCATCAATAAGAAGGATAAAAGAAATATCTTTGCAACACAATGGTCAGATGTGAGAAACAAGAATTGTCACTACCTGAAAGAAAAAAAAAAAAAACTAAATGTACATAATTAATATTTACTGGAGTTTTTAACAAAAAAAAAAAAAAACTAAATGTACATAATTAATATTTACTGGAGTTTTTAACATTTGAAGAATGGGGTTGAAGAAATTTCAGAGGCTGGAAAGTGTCTTTTCCAAAGTAAAGCCATTGGAGGCAGACTGGTATATATAGTTGTAATGATGAAGTGGCTCAAGTTACTTCACTGAAGGCCCAGAAAGCAGATGCTGGAATCAGGTTTTGAATTTAGAAGTGTGCTACCCTGGCTGTAGTAATAATGGATGATAGCAAGTCTCCACTTTTGTATCTTTGACTCATGCCAAGAGATTGGGACAGGTAAGGATTAGCTCAACTACTGTCAAACCTGTGCTGCAGAGAACATTTGGGACACTAAAGGTCAACAGGACACAAGTATTGACCAGAAACCTTTGCTTCCAATTCTGTTTTAATCCTAGCACTGTATGAAAGTCATTATATAGAGCCTAAGCCTGTTTAGCTGCATGTGCTTCTCTGTAGAAATTAGTTAGAAATATGCAAATAATATAAGGAAACAATCTGCAACTTTGCATACTATTTGTATATGAACACAAACTTTAGGCTTATAGTTAATACTGGCAGTATTAACCTCTGGCAGTGGCCAGGAAGGATGTGGAGTGGTAGATAGTGACAGTTTTGGCATGTGGCCAAGGACAAGACAATAGTCAGGTGACAGGTACAGAAGCAGGGCATGTGTATTCGTAGGGATGTGTGGCTGTGTGCTGGGGTATCAGAGGACAACCTGGAGTGTGCAGCTGGCTGGAAGGGGACTCGATTTCTGGTATTCTCAAGACTGGATGAAAAGATGGTAAATAAATTATTGAAGGTCTTAAAGAAAAAGACACCTGACTTCAAAAATATTAATGGTGTCATCTGCCTAGCAGCTCCCGAGCCCACAGATGAACACAGGTATCTGCAGGGGAACAACTGCGCTGGCAGATATGTAGACAGATTTTGCCACAGCTGGAGCTCATGAACTGGGATCTCTATCCCAACTCTCTCACCAGACCTTAAGGTCTTGTCTGCTTGTCCTCAGTTGTCTGCCCCAGCAAGAGGAGCAGCTGTAGGACATGCCTCGGCTATGCAAACACTTGGCAGTGCAATTGCTCCTGCAGGCTGAAACTTGGCATTAGAAAGTAATGGCACAGTAATGTGCCAATATAGTCAGATCAAGGCTCCACGTAGCCTAATGCTTTGACATTTTGCTTAACGCTGCCAACAGCAATGCTAATTATTACAGCTTGCATTTACCTACAGCAGCTCATTCAAGCCTGGCCACTCATCAGTCCCTGGATTGTAATGGCTACTTGTCATCAAAAAGCCAGGTCAGCTGGAGCTGTTTCAGATCCAGAAGTGAGAAAGGCCTTGTACTTAATTTCAAGCCCTGTTCCTGTGGTGGTACACAAATCACAAACACTTACCTCAAGTGTGTTTAAATAAGCCTACCCTTAGTGAATTCAGGCCTATACAGAATACTCCCTTTTCATCAATGATGCAACTGCTTTTGAATAAACTTCAAACCACTTGCTTACATGTGCGCATGTAAAACTTGCCACTTTTGGCTTGAATCAAACTCATCATTAACAGAAAATGGGCATCTCACATCTAGACTGTCCCTGTAACTCACAATACCACACAGACAGCTACTACAGACAGGCTCCATGCTACCAGACCCTGCAGAATCGCAGCAACGTTTATTCAGGCTGGAAGACGCCTCCAAGGTCACGGACACCAAGCTCCGGCCGGTCCCCCCGCGACAGGCACCCCTCAGCCGCAGGTGCTTTCCCAGTCCCGCCGCCCGGCAGCCCCGCACTCCCGCGGTCCCACAGCCCCGCACACTCCCGCAGCCCCATAGCCCCGCACTCCCGCGGTCCCACAGTCCCGCAGCCCGGCAGTCCTACACTCCCACACTCCCGCAGCCCCGCAGTCCCACACTCCCGCAGCCCCATAGCCCCGCACTCCCGCAGTCCCACAGCCCCGCACACTCCCGCAGCCCCATAGCCCCGCACACTCCCGCAGTCCCACAGCCCGGCAGTCCCGCACTCCCACACTCCCGCACTCCCGCTGTCCCGCAGCCCGGCAGCCCCGCACTCCCGCTGTCCCACAGTCCCGCACTCCCACACTCCCGCAGCCCCGCAGTCCCACAGCCCCACACACTCCCGCAGTCCCACACTCCCACAGCTCCGCACACTCCTGCAGTCCCGCAGTCCCGCACTCCGGCTGTCCCACAGCCCCGCGCTCCCCTCCCCGCTCCGCCCCCCCCGCCCGCCGCGCGGGCGGGGCGCGAGCGCCTCCGGGCACCGCCCCCGGCCCCGCGCGACCCGCCGGCCCGAGCCAGGCGGGACGGGCCGTGCGCATGCCCAGCAGCACACGAGGGCGGAAGCGGCGCCCTGCGCGCCTGCGCAGGAGGGGGCTCCTCCAGGCGCCGCCGTACTTCAACATGGCGACCTAGGCCGGCCGCGCCAGCGTCACCGCGGGCGGGCGAGCGAGGCCGTCGCCGCCGCTGCTGCCGCTGTCGCCGTCATGTCCCGGCACAGGAACGTCCGAGGATATAACTACGACGAAGGTAGCGGTTATGGCGAACAGGCGGTGGTGGCGGAGCTGCGGACCCGTCGGTCCCTCAGCGCTCCGCCCGGCCCCTGCTACCGGCCGGGCCACCCGTACCGTGGCCGCGGGCAGGAGGGTGTGGCGGGCCTCGCACGGCGGTAGGGGAGGGTCCGGGGGGCTGTCAGGGGCGGTGGGAGGGGAAAAGCCGCGCCCTCACCTCCCCTCGGCGGGGGTTGGTCGGGGCTCCGGGCGAGGCCTCGCCCCGCCCCGTTCCCGGCCCGGTTCCCGCCCGAGTGGGGAGGGTCGGGCACACGTGGCTGCTCTCCTGCTGCTGCCGGGGGCTCCCGGGAGCTTCCACACGGGGCGAGCGTGGCCTTGGTACGTGGTCCAAGCCACAGCTGCCTTGCCTTGAGCTGCCCAAATTTACTCTGCTTTTCAGTAGCGGCACTGACTTGAAAAAAGCCTCAGTATGGTTGAATCCATCCATCTTTAGTCTTGAAAAACTTAAAAATTTGTATTCAGGGCCAAAGTCTAGCCAAGTGTTGCTGATGTTAATAGAAATGGGTTAACAGCTGTTACTTGAGGAAGAAATGTAATTCTTAAAGATGGAGTTGTGCATTTAGGGTGTTCCCTAAATGCACAACTCCATCTTTAAGAACCTCTTTTTCAGGAACCTGTCTCATTTTACTTGTGCTTCTTGCATGGAATGAAGAGTTCTTCCATAAGAATACGGCTTGTATCTGCAGTACGGCAGCTTTCTTTGTGCCTTGGCCCCATTAACTTACGCAAACTGTAAATCAGAGTATTTTTTTTCCCCTGAAAGTCTTTATTTTTGTTGGTTTGGGCTGTGGAGAAATGGACACACTTTGGCTCATACTGATATTTTAAAGAGCCCTTTGCTGAGGGAGCAGTAATTTTGTTGCTTCACTTTGTCATATTATTACAAAAATGCAAGGAAAGCTTCAGCTTGCCTCTGGTCTTCTGTTGAGTAAACAGACTACATGGTTTTTATGTATTATAGTAGTACAAATTGGGTTTTTCACTCTGGTATTGGAATTTCTTGGAAGTTGTAAATTCATGTGAGCTGTGCTGACTGTGTTCCCACCTTGCAGTTTCTGCTAGTGTAAATTTTCCTAATATAGGCAAAGCCCTGAATTAGATTGGGAATTCTACTGCTTGATTTTTCATCCTCTAGAAACCATTTTTCATCACAGATTGGTTGAAACGTTGATTTCAGCCGAGTCTCTGGCTTTTGAAAAGTTGAGTGTGCAATCCATAGAGTCTTGATGCACTCATCAGACTCTCTTGTAATGAGTTTGCTCATTACTGTGTAATGAGATACACAGTAATCTTAATAGCTACGCAGTAGCTAATAAGGCACATTTTGCTATTGGAAATGTGACTGTGAGGTTATGTGTCAGGTCTTTACCCTTGTACCATATGTTTCTTCTGTAGTCACACAGAATCATTTATGACCCAAATGAATGAGACGTTGTGTCTTCTTATCTGTTAAATGCAATATGCTTTTTTTATACTGCATCTGATTCTGTAATGCCCAAATACAAATCCCATTTCTAAGCTGAATATTTACAGTTTTTTTTTAGTTTCCTTTCATAGGAAGACTTCTGAGGCCTTAGATCTTCTGGGCTTTATTTGACTATGTTCTATGTTTTTCCCCTCTCCTTTCTGAGATACTGTGATCATAACCAAATGTGATATTCCATCTGCAAGTATCTTGGCAGTGCAGCTGGAATACTTCAGTAGCTTCTACTCTGTTCTCTGTAATTTATGTAATTTTTAAATACTAATTTTTATGGTCAGTGCATACTGGGGTCTGTCTTTTACAATAACAAATAGAGGTTACTTGTGAAACTGCCAAGTGTAGTAGTGTCTTTAATAATAGTTTGTTACTTTTTTCATGTATTTCATTATTACTTACTGAAAATTACACAATTTTTTAAAGATTGGCATAATACTAGGATTCCTTTTTTGAGAGGAAGGCGCATAACTTATTATTTTTATTTCTGCGTGCCTTTTTTTTTTTTTTTGTGAGGAAAGAATATTTTTAGCTTTAAGTAACTGTATAAGATACCTGCTTTTTACCTGAAACAATTTTGCATATTCAGAGGGAATTGTGAATTTTTTTTTTGCTTGCTGAACTTAATTTGAAAGGTGGATAGATGTGAGCATAAAATAGAGAAGAAAGGTGAGAAATGTATAGGAATGGAGTAGAAATGCTGATCCTTAGCTGTTGGACTAGAAATTGTAATTGACCTGCCTGTCTGGGGTGAAGGCTGAGAGGTCAAGCAAAAATATCAAGAGAAGTGCCATGGGTAAAGATTTGTGGAATGTAGAAAGATTTAGTCGGTGAGGGCAAAGGAGATGCTGAAGGAGGAGGTGTGAAGTGTGGCAGCTCTTGAAAATTTTCAGCCTAATGAATAGAGTATTAAATGTTAAATTATATTATTTTAAGAAAATTCTGTTATTGGAGCTTGGAAGGTTATTTCTCACATAGGAAATACACAGAACCTAACTGTACTTCTGGAATACAGGAAATGTATTATTTCATAAAACCTTGTGCAGAACGTATTTGAATTATAATATTATTTAGAAATTGTGTAGATTAATCTTGCTATTTTTGCTTCATAGACTTTGAAGATGATGATGTGTATGGCCAATCAGTAGAAGATGATTATTGCATTTCTCCTTCAACAGGTTAGTTCAAATAATTATCAAGTATTATTCATTGATGCCTGTTTTGATATTTATTTCTAAATAAAATAAATTTTAAAAGCTAGTGACACTTTTGAAAAGTGCCTAGTGGCCATAATTCTGTTACAGTCAGTTATGTAGTGTTAGACATTGGACTTTTGAAAGTCCCCTTAGACAACTGGCCACATCTTGAGCCCTGCATATATATTACCTTAGATGGTTGGAATGTACTTGTTAATGTAAAAATCTGCTCTGTGGGAATGTGTTGATAATCTTGAAGCATTTGGTATCTTTTCCTATGGTTAGTAGGATGTACCTGGGCTTGACAGTTGTTATTATGCACCTGGTAGTTGATGTCTTCTACACACCCTTGGGTAAATGTGGGACAGGGAGTCTTACTCTGGGTTGCAGTGCTGGTCCTCTCATGCAAGATCATGTGGAGCTAATCAGCCTTCCACCATTTGCAGTGCTGCAAAGTAGGTTTAAAAATAGCAATGGCTGTGTGCTCAGGTAAGGCATAATTGGAGTGGCTCATCCCAGCTCAATTCAGCCCAGCTGTAGAACCATTAAGTTGTGCTGTCCAGTCAAGTCTCTGGCAAGGTTATCAGTTTAGGTTTCCCTAGGTTTGGTGGCATTGTTTCTAGAGCTGAGTAGGCCCTGGAAATAGTACAGCTGGTGTTGATAGGAAGCTGTGCTACTGCAGGTAGCTGGTTTGGATCTAATCCACTGTGATGTAGGGTATGACCTCTGGCCACAGGTACTTGAGATAATTAGGTCTTTAAAAACTCTGGTGTTCTCCCATGCTGTTGATTTCAGTGATGAAAATGTGCAATGTGTACCTTTTGCTCAAGTGTAGAGTGATAAATGGCAAAATAAATTCCTGACTGTGCACACTAATTTTCCTAAGATCTCTTTGTGTGGAAGCTTCAATTATAAACTAATCTGATGTAGATTGTATAACAGTCCTAATAATTGCTTCAGTTAATGGCAATTGAATATGAAGTGTGTGTATGCATTTGGGAAACAGTTGCTAGGAGTTGCTACTTCTGGATATACACCTGCTTTCAGTATGGATTTTAGAGCTGGGGAGAATATTTCATGACATAAGGCAGTTTGTTTATATTATGCTTTGCACATTTCTGAGAGAGTATAATGACTGGGGCTCTTGTTCAGCAAGGAGTTTTATCTGTATATACCTTAATGTTGCTAAATCAGAGTGAAACCACACACTTGTTTAAAGTTTTGTGTGACTATGTGTTTTTACTCATGGGCTGTATTTCTAATGAAATTCCAAGAAAGAAAGGATGTTTTCAACTCAATTTAATTCTTATCAGTAATTTAACAGTTACATACTATAAAAGCCATGCTAATTTCATGCTAACTTTTTAAAATTCAAAAATGGATATGGTTGAGAATTCAAATTCACAAATGATTATGTAAGGTTCTGAGGACATTAGGCCATAGATTTGTAGAGAAAATAGTGTTTTTTGAACCTGGAGTATAATCTTTTTTGTAATGCTGAATTTTGCAGAATTATTGCATTCCATGGATACAAGGATATTGCCCAGCCTGTAGTTTCACTGTGATGGCGATTTTTTTTTTATCCTAGCATGAGCTGTTGTATGCTCTGTGCAGTCCTCAGTTAGTAGTTATTACACAGTAGTGTCTCACCACCCCCTTGAAACCACTGCAACAGTTCAGCATCCTAACTTATTTTACCTTGAGTTATGTTTTGCTTTTGAAGGAGAAAAAAAATTGATTTGATTTTTAATACTTTGTTTTTTACCTAATGCAGCAGCTCAATTTATTTACTCCAGACGAGACAAACCAGCCACATTTGCTGAGCCATTAGAAGAAGAATATGGCTGTGAAGGTAGTGATGCTGCTGCTGATTGTTTTACACCCACTCATCAGTTGACTGAAGTTGATAGAGGTAATTATGGAAAGTAACTATCAGAATAATCTCTTACATTAATTAAGGATTTACTAGAATAGTCTTAAATTAATGTTTCTTACTTGACTGACATTGCTCACAATTTTAGAATCTTGTTATAAAACAATACCCTTCAGGGAGCTACCTTCAGTGGTCATTCTTCAAGTTCACAACAACGTTTTGTATACTTCTTGTAACTTGGATACTTGTAATTTGGTTGGATACATTGGATACAATGTGTTCTTAGTTTCTTACTAGAAATAATGAGACTTTATGTGAAGTGGAGACATTAGAGCAACTGTACTGACAGCTCAAATCTTGACACTTGAATATCATTAATTGAGTATTAGTATTAAAATGATTTCTTTTTGTTTTGCATTCCAAAATACAGCAATTAGCAGTATTTAAGAGGTTTTAAAATTCTCTAATTTCCTTGAAAATGTAGCAAATATTCTGTACAATCTTTCCTTACCCTTACCTTTTTAAGTTTGTAAGACTTTTGTTTCCATTCAGTCTTGCAGCCATGAACTCCATGTTACAAGCTGAGTTCTGAGCTGAGTGGTTGGGGAAAAATACTTGCTTTTGTTTTTTAAACTTGCTGCCTATTTGCCTAATTGATTGATTTCTGAAAAAGATTCACAAGTCTCTTTCCTAACTATTAATAGCTAATATAGTTTTTAATGATTTGGAAATAATTAGGGTTATTTTAAAAATGTTGAAAAGAACAGACTAAAGTGTGTTGAAATTTGGTACTTAAAGTTGCAGAAAACTCAACAGTTAATTAGAATTTTGATTCCATGTCAAGTAAATTGGTAGAAGTTAAGCTAATGCTTAGAGATATGGGGAATAATATACATGTTTTTACAACAGGAAATAAAGCTGTGGAGGGCAATTTGAAAGAATGAGCCAGTATAATGGTACAGGTGATCTAGACAATGCAGTCTTCTGGCTTTGCAGAATGCTTTTGACAGACTCAATCAGTTAAGACCTGGTATTGGAGCTGGAAGGAAAGTATCATTTTGGACTAAGAAAAGAGGGTAAAGAAACCTCAAAATACCCACTTCTACTGTGAAAACAGCAGTGATCTCACAAGACCTATTATGTTTCATACAGTATGTAGTATTGGCCATTAATACAAAATTATTGATGTAGCCAGGGTGGCTGTGAAGAGTTTCACAAGGTTGTCCTTCTTGAGTATTAGATGGTAAAATAACAATCAGCACATTGTGTAGGGCTCTGCCTGCTCTTGTTTTGTAGGGCAAATGTCTGGGGAACATTCATTGCTATTTGAATTACAGGTAAAGGGTGCTAACCTCATGGAGGTAGGAATTCTGTAGTGCTGAATTCCCAAACTTCTTTAAACATATTCCAGGAAGTGTTAAAATACAAGTATGTAATTGTCTTCTTGTTCTTCATTTCCTGTTTTCTAAAAACTGAACTGGCAGAAGCTGGGATTTTTAGTGAGATTTTATTCTTTGTATGTTTGTATGGGTTCCAGTGAGTGGCAACCTGGTTAATTTTCAGTCTCTTGTTGTGCAGCAGCTATCTTAGTAAAGGCTTATAGTAGTTGCAGAAATATGCTCCACAGAAAATTTATTTTATCAGCCAAGAAATATATTACAGTTTTAGAAATGGTAAAAATTAGAAGTAGTTTCAAACCTGGTGTGTTGATCCAGGTTTTCAGTTTTTAAGGCCTGAGGACCCTGAAAATGCTGTTATACTTTCAGTGTTAATTGTAGCATCTGTAAACACTTAAAATGTGCTGTTCAATGGATTCTACATTGACTTACTCTATTGCTTTGGATAATTTTAAGGTGATTGTATTTCTTCTCTGTGGTGAGGATAATTATTTTACAATATCAACATATTTCAGTACTGGGACTTTCTAGATGAATAAATAGTCAGTAATATGTTCTTTATTGCAACATCTGAAGTAGGTTAAATATTCTGCAGAGTGTGGGAACAAAGCCTTTCAGGGCAGTAAATGGGATTGAAATTAATTTCTAAAGGTTTTAACCCTTATTGTAATGTTTTGTCCTTCTGTTTGCTAGTCAGAGGTGCGGTGCTAGTGGTTAGGCCATTGCAGACATATTTTTGGGCAGCTTATAACAGTAATGTGTTTCTTTCAGCCCGTCTTAATTCATGCCTTGATCAAATGAGAGAAGTTTTGGCAGAGTCCATACCAGAACAAGCAATGGTGCAAGCAGTACTGGATACTAAATTTGATGTACAGAAGGCTTTGGATCTTGTGCTTTCGCAAGGCAGTAAGCAAAATGCGAAGACCAAGAATAAGGATGCTGTGATTTTAGCAAAGACTACAAAAGGTATACTTATATTTAATTGCTTACATTCAAGGTGATTAATTTCATTTCTAACTATGGTTTAATTTGGGCTTTACAAACTGTAAAGACGCTTATCATTGCAATAGTCATTTCTAGGAAAATGAAAGAAGACTGACTAACTATATGTGTATTCTAAAACATTTCAAGGAAAGAGCTTTTCTTGAGGAGAAGTCAGAGTAACACCTCAGTGTCAGTTTAAATTCAAGCTGTGACCATCTGCAGTTCATGATAGATTTCTGATTTATAATATATTACTTAACTGAATTAATGCATGCCCTTAAATTTGGAAAGTATCTTTAAATTATTAGTGCTGTTATTTATTTGGTAAACTGACATCTTCCATTCCTAGTATTTCCTTTTTTGGGTAGTGTCTATACAGTAGCTTTCTTATTCTGATTTTTACTTAAATATTTGCCGTCTTTACTGGCATTCTCTGCTGATTCTTAAAGTTTTTTATGTATTTCAATAGATACCTGTGATTTACATGTAGAACATTCCTTACCTTTGGATGACACTTAATAATTGAATGCCTTTTCATGTTTCTTGATTTTTTTTTTTTGTTGCTGCTGTCAACTTTTAAAAAATGGGATATTTCATTGTGACTGGACTTCCATCTGAAAATTATTGGCTATTGTAAGGTAAGGAGACTTACATTGTTATCCAGAAATGTGTGTTGGTACAGACAGTTTCTCTTGTGCAGTAGACAATTTTGCTGACAACACCAACAAACCTGGGTTTGGAAACTTGACAGCCAAAAGTGATTCAGCTCTTAATTCTTTAAGTACAAATTTTGAAAAATCCAATATACATTCATGTGAAAGGAAAGGATTGAATTCCTCTTCACTGGTTCTGTCATCTGCGTTCAGTGATAATTTGTGTAAAGGATCATTTTGTGCACCTGTGAACAAACAAGCAGAGAAGCAACTATCAGAAAGTGCTAATGCAGTAAGTTTGGTTCCTGGCAGTCAAGATGTTTACTCTAGCATAGGAGGTAACCCATTGGAGTGCAAGGAAACACAGGACTTGAAATCCTTGATGATGCAGAATATGGTTTGTGATTCTCTGAGTCCTGAACACAGCATTCCTCTTTTTTCCTCAAAAACTTCTGATTGTAATAGAAATGCAAATTTTTGTAGTCCTTTATGTTTAGCAAGTGCTTTAGGAAACTCGGCTCTTGAGAATGAAATCAGTCATACTATAAATAAAAAGAATGAACTTCTTGAAAATTTTTCTTCACTTGCACAAAGTAGAAAGCAAGAAAGCCTGTCTTCAGACATGGCTGCTTTGCCAGTGTTAAGATCAGGAAGTACATCATTGGCTGAATTGCTTCAGGAGCACCAGGAAAGCAGTTCTAGCCACTGTTACTCTTTGGCTGATCTTTACACCCAGTCAACAGCAGGTCTCACTGATAGGAAGTTGGGAAGCTCATCATTATCACAGCTAGCAAGTCAACCCCAAATTTCAGGTGGGATGCCAGAGCTAACAGGATCTTTGTCTTCTCTAGCCCTTTCTGAAGTTTGTCCAGTAAAGGAGGTTGAGAATTTATCACTCTCAGATTTAATAGCAGAGACTATTGAAATAGATAAAACTCAGCAGAGGACGGACTTGCCCATGCACAATGTAATTGAATTGAGGCCCACCCAAGGAACCAACATTGATTTAAGTGTCCTTGTAAAAAGTGCAGATGTATCTACAGAGAAAAGTGTGGTAGGACAGTCAAATATCTTAAGTCCTGAAACGAAAATTATAAAAGAAAAACAAGGCAAATGTTCTGGTTTTGCCAAAACAAACAGAAGACCCAAAAAAGGGCATGGTTTTAAGAGGCAGGATTTGTCCCTTTCATGGATAAAGGCTCTGCGTGCAAGACCTTCAGCTTTTGCTTTAACCTTGTGCCTCCATTATCCCCCAAAAGGGTATAAGCGGCGCACAGTTGGGATACACAAAACTTTCCTATACAGTAGACAAGTACAAGATGTAAAACCCAAGGAAACTGGTCCTACAATAGCCATAACACCATTTGACTTCAAATCAGCATCTCCTGATGATATTGTGAAAGCTAACCAAAGAAAAGGTTTTACAAGACAGTAATGAGAAACAAAAAAAAGGCATCAGTGTTGATATTGAATTGTATTAAAAAAATTAATATAGGACCTACTTATGATCCAGAATTTATTTTTTTATTATTTTTTAAATTGGCATATTACAATTCTTGCTGATAGGTAGAAATTTGTATGTGAACTTTTAAAGTGTTGCACTGAATATCCTAATTTTTGCATAATTTTCACTGACAGTTTAATATTGTTAACTTTTGGAAAGTCTTGAACTCCACTATACAGATACTGCATGTACAAAATTCTGTAAACACCATTAGACTTCTTGAATTATTGCTTTAGGTGTTGAAGATACAGTTCACTGGGAAGAACAGTGAATTATTATTTTGTAAAGTAATTTACTTTTCCTATATGGTGTATAGTTTGGGAAGCAGGAGCCTCAGTTTATATTACAACTGTTTTATTAAATGTTCTTAAGGTTAGATTTTCTGATAAAGGTATGTTATTAAACTGCCAGTCTTGTAATGGATGTTTCCAGTCAATGTCATTATTCTATCTTTATACTGATCACACTATTACAACAGAAATGCCTTTAGTTTTTAAAAGCCTCAAGGACCTCAGGTTTTGACAGTTCTGGTTGTGGTTGTACATATGTAGTTTTTGATAGGACCAAATTTGTAGGGGAGCAAGCAATTAAATTGTTGTTGTGCCCCACAACTCCAGTTAGCTATCAAAATGTGATATCCAGCATTTTAAACCAGCAATTTTATATGTTTGTACATGCTGCATGTATTTAATAAGAAGTTTCTGTAGCATTCTGTTGTTTATTCTCAAGCTTTTCAGAGAAGTGCTGAAATTTCAGTACTTTCAACTGTAGCATGAGAGTCTTTGCTCAATGGAGAAAAAAAATAAGGCAAAGCCTAAGTGCTGTTTGTGTCTGTCTGCCTCTTGTGTTTTTTGATAAAAACTTCCTTAAGAAATGGAAATACATTCTCTTCTGCTGACAATGCAGAATCTCATGTTATCTTTTGAATAAATGAAATCTTTAGGTGAAAGATCCAAATCAGAACATTCTGGACTTACTATGGTGCCCTGTTATTCAAATTAGTAGCTGCATATATGTTTTAACTTTCCTTTTAATACACATTATGACCTCTAATGTATTTCCAGTTCATTGACAGTGTTTTAGATTCAGAACAGCAATAAGTTCAATAGAGATACTGCTGCAACTAGAAAAATGTGTGTTCATAAACTTATGCTAAACTTGGCAGCTAGTATGAAACAGTAGATATGACTTTCATCTAGTTTTAATCCAATTTTTTGGAGCATATTAGATCAAAAAAAAGGCAAAACCTTCAGGTTTATCCCTGACTTTAGATTGCACTACGATTTTGTTTCTAAATAAAATAAAACAAAACATGTTCCAGTTTTCTCAGGTACAAATTTAATGGTCTGTATATTTTGCTTGTCTAGTTGATGCATCTGTCACTTAGTGCTAAGAGCTATGTGAACTTCAACCTTGTGAATGAAATGGATGTTTCTTACCCGAATTAATAAAAGTTTTATATAATGAGTGCTGCAGTGTTTATGTTCTAGTTGATTTGTTAATTTATCCTAACCTATTTGGAGTTCCTTTAAAGGATTAAATAATACAATCCAGTGTATATACTATGATTTGATAAGTTAATTAGCAGGAGCATAATTGATCTCCTGAGAAGACTTTCTATAAAAGTCTGGTGGATACTGATTGTTTTATTGATTAGTCATAATAGCAAATCCTACTATGTCAAAAATACAAAATGCTTTTCAGTGATCTTTTTCTCTGCAGTTAATCCAAGCTTTAACTTCCTCCCCGCTTAAAAATCCAAGTCTGTTTTTCTTACTGACCAAAGGGTCCTGTTAGCAGAGTTTGTAATTAAAGCTCACTTTTCCCCGAAATTGTTTGTATTTTTCTAGTAGAGAAATTCTAATTTTTCAAAATAAAATATGAGTGCAAAGTTTGGCATTGTCATGCCTGTTGTATTTGTAGGTGGTTTTGCTTTCCTGTGTTTCAGATACTCCAGAAGACTTCATTAATGTCAGTAATTAGAGATTTCTAATATGTGTGGGTCTTTTAAAATGGAATACATTTGCTTTACCATATAAATATTTTCTCTAACTTCTTATTTGTTCTGGTCTGTTTTCTCATTCCCCTGGCTGGCCTTATTTGCATAAAACTCCTTAGAATTTGTTATAATTTTAGACATGAACTGGACCTACAACTAAATATAGGTCCTGTGGATACCATTGGAACAAGTAGTAGGGGGCAATGTGTAGAAGCTCAGTTTTGGCATAGTTTTAGTGCTGATTAGAGCTTGAACAAGTGTCTGAAGCCAAAGAGCATCAGCATTTTATGTTTATCATGGATCTTACTGTGGGACTGTTACCTTAGTAAACAACTTTGGTTCTTGTTAGGCAGCTAGATTTTCATATATAATTACTTTCTCATTGGCATTTGACTCTGGTATTAGTGGTCATGAAGGAGCAGTATATGCTGCTCAGTGTGTAAATAGTAGGGGAGGGGTTTTTCCTCAGTTTACAATCCTGAATTCTGAAGTGAGCCTTGAATTAATACAGACCTGCAGGCTGAACATTGGAGAAGGTACCTAAGTGGTGGATTAACCTGAATTCCAATTTCAGCAGAGATTTATTTTCATGCCTAGACAATTTTATAGTTTTGTTTTTCTAAACAAAAAGTATTGTGACACTATATTTGCTTTTAAAATTAAACTGGTATTTTAATAATTTCCTGAATTATTCCTTTAATTATTTACTGAGAATGAGATATATGGTATCAAGGACAGGTTTAATTGTGTTAGAGTACTGCATGATATGGCATGTCGCATTTTTGTGTAACAACTGTCTGGCCTTTGCACTGAAGGATTTGTGCCTAATGAATATTAGAATTCTAGTAAACGAAATCCGCCTGTTTTATGTTTGACATGGTGAGCTTACTTTCTTAATTTATGTATATAATTCCCCCCTCCCCCTCCCCCCCCATTTTACAGCTACTGTCTATCTTTGGCTAATATGGTTTAATTGTGTTACTTGGTTTGGAATTCACATATTAACATTGCAAAGTACTTGTCTGTTTTTGCATATAAACAGAAAAAGATAATATTAAATTGCATAGACGTACTACTAGTGTGTACTCCTAAGGCATTTTGTACATCAAATCTATTCTGTGCATAATTTTTAAATGTCTGGTGATTATTTTTAATACAAAATTGACTTCTGGATGTTGCTTCATGTATGTAAATAAAATGTATATTATTAAAGGACTGAGTTAATTACAATTTCTTGTTAACTTACCTGATAGAAATAGAGTTGAATGTTCTGCAATGTTTATATCTATTGTGGAAACAGACTCCAGTTCTTGTCCAGGTTGACATAGGCATTCTTTGCACAGAGGATTCCTTTGGAGGAAGTAAGGCAAAATCTATTTGGACAGTTCTCAAGATCTTTAGTTTCATATGCAGCAAACTGCTTGAATTTCTAGAACTGTTGCACAATACTATTTCAAAATGTTATTTCTAAGAGACTAATTGGTGCAGGGAGTTAGTCTTTGCAGTCTTGTGTTTTGCCCAATTTCCTTACTGTGCCATCCAAAAACATTTTTCTGTAATCAGCAATTTTTAAAAATCTGCACTTATGCAAACTAGTACTGGAAAAATCAATATCTGGGTGAAAGATTTGTCTGAAGATAGGATATGCCTTGTATTTTTATGAAGCATACATACTTAATTACAGTGCCATTATACAAGGGTAGTAGTTCATATACAAGCTAGGGTTATACAGACAGTCACGTCTTTTTCCAATCTAAAGTACTCGATTTCTCAAATTTTTAAAATTGTTTTGTATTAGGTTTGATTATGGATCAATATCTCAAGTAAATATTTAATGCCATTGTAATTAATGTAGTAAACTTCCTTAAAGTGCTGAACGGGGATGCTTCTCTGTTAGATTGTTGTTGGTTGTTTTTTTTTAATATAATTGAATTTTTTTGGTTATCTTTTTGTTTCATTTTGTTGACATGTAGACAGCTGATAAACTTAGATTTTATGTTCAATTTACTGCTTCCAGACTTCTAATTAGATGATAGGAATTGACATTAGTCCAAGTTACCTGTCTGCACTGGAGAACAATGTGAGGAAACAAAAAGCCAATAGTGATTTATTTATTTATTTAATCACACTCTTTGTCTTCCCAAATTGCTATCTCATTGCAGTTCAATGGGAATATGTCTCTATTTTAGTATTGCTGTATTATGCATCAGTTGCTCCTTTGTGTGATCTATTCAAGTACACCATATTACCAAAAAGTAAAAGCTAATTGCAGTTTGTGTTTTTAGGTGATTCTTGAGATGAGCAATCTGTATGAAGCTGCTCATCAGCTTCTAGTTGTCATCATGGAAGTATTCTTTATCTGGTTTGTGGATTTCTTACATTGCATGCTTAAAAATGGCCCATTAGAAACAATTGTCAGTGACTTCTGAGGTATGTCAGTAGTTCATTGCTCAAATAATTGATTAGTATGCTTAGTATTGGTAGGATTCCTTTAGAAAATAACCCATTGCCCTATAAGTTTCTGGAAATAAGACCAGAAGAGGACTAGAACCTGTAAAATGGTTGTAGTCTGTAGAGATTAAAATTGTATTTGAAAGAGAATCTTTGAACCATTTCTTAAGAATTAGACCTAGGAAAATAGTGAAAATTATTTTACTCTTTTTATAATGAGATTATGGAGATTTTAGAGAAGAGTTGCTTGTCAAGTATTTACTCATCATCACTGAAGTCCCAGCTGACTAGAAGCTGGTGAGCATCATCCTACTTTTCAAGATGGGCATTAAGGAAGACTCCAGAAATTACAGGCCTGTCAGTCTCACTTCAGTGTCTGATAAAGTTACGGAAAAGATTTTTCTGGGGGGTATTGAAAAATATCTGAAATACAACACAGTTGGTGGTCACAGCCAGTATGGCTTCATGAAAGTCCCATCTGAGTTTTGTTTTATTACAAAGTAACTCATCTAGTTGGGCAAGGGAATCCAGTTGATGTAATATTTTTGGATTTCTGTAAAGCTTTAGATGCTGTCTCTCACAGGATTCTTCTGGACAAAATGTCCAGCATGCATCTGGATAAACACATTGTGAAATGGATGAGCAGCTGGCTCATGGATCAGGCGCAAAGGTGTATAGTGAGTGAGGTGACATCAGACATCTCTAGTGAGACTCCATCCTTGGCCCTGTACTTTTCAACATCTTCATAAATGACTTGGACGAAGGACTGGAAGGGATAATGAGCAAATTCACAGATGATGGAAAACTGGGAGGAGCTGCTGACTCCCTTGAGGGGAGGGAGGCCCTGCAGAGAGACCTCAATAAATTGGAGAGTTGGGCAGTCACCAAAGTGAAGGTCAACAAGGGCAACTGTCAGATTCTACACCTGGGGTGAGACAACCCTGGAAGTACATACAGACTGGGGAATGAGAGGCTGGAGAGTGGTGCCATGTAAAGGGTCCTGGGGGTCCTGGTCAGTGGCAAGTTGAACATGAGCCAGCAGTGCCCTGGCAGCCAGGAGAGCCAACCCTGTCCTGGGGGACATCAGGCACAGCACGGCCAACCAGGCAAGGGAGGGATTGTCCCACTCTGCTCTGCTCTGCTCTGGGACAGGCTCACCTCCAATGCTGGGGTCAGTTTTGGGTGCCACAACATAACAACATTCAACACTGGAGAGCATGCAAAGGAGGGCCATGAGGATGGTGAAAGGGCCAGGAGGGGAAGCTGTATGAGGAGCAGCTGAGGTCACTTGGTCCGTTCAGCATGGAGGAGACTGAGGGGAGACCTTATTGCAGTCATGAGAGGAAGAGGAGGAGCAGACACTGATCTCTGTGGTGATTAGTGACAGGACCAAGTGAATGGCCTGAAGTTGTGTCAAAGGAGGTTTGAGTTGGATATAAGAAAAAGATTCTTCACCCAGAGGGTGGCTGGGCACTGCAACAGGCTCTCCAGGGAAGTGGTCACAGCACCAGCCTGACAGAGTTCAGGAGGTGTTTGGACAATGCTCTCAGGCACATGGTGTGACTCTTAGTGTTGGTGCTGTGCAGGGGCAGGAGCTGGATTTGGTCCTTGTGGCTCCCCTCCAACTCAGAATATACTCTAATTTTGTGATTTTATCTATATGTGGAGGTAATAGCTGATGAAGATAGATATTATTTTGATATTTTGAGTCTTTTTATCCATAACATGAAAGAATGAAAGCTTAATAAAGATTTCTCTTTTTTGACTGGTGGCGTATGTTCTTGACACGTGTAGCATTTCTCAGGTGTCCTTTGTTCTGTATTAGTGATATTCAGAGATTGCAATTTGAAGCACATTCTTGTAGTAAGTTGTTTTCAGTATAGTCAAGACAAGCAAAGATTTTTGTTTCAGGAAATGTAGCTGGTATTCACAGGTTCTCTGGGAAATCTTTCTTAAAATTAAAACTTCTAGAAAGTATTTATGTGAAAATGGTACCCTCAGTGAAAAACATCTGCCTTTTCATTTAATTTCTGCATCTTATTTTTCTGTCTAAACTACATTTTCATTTCTTTTTGCTTGCGTTAGTGTTACAGAACAAACAGATACTGGTGATTGAGGAAGGTTCTATTCCATTTTAGGCATCATTAACAGAATTGTTAACCACTTTATGACACTAAGATTTTTGATTTTAGTGATGCTTGAGCAAGAAAGAAGTCAGATGTCTGTAAATGTGCAGTCCTTGCAGGAAATTAAAAGCACTGCAAACTGAATCTGGTTTGGTTGTTGTTGGGGCAGCAAGGAATCTAGAGTTGACCTGTCTTTGTGGTGGCACTGGCTATTTTCTTTTATGGTAGTTTCTCAAGAATAGCACCAAGAACAGGTCTACTTTTATAAATATTTAATAAGAAACAAACTTCACAGTAGAGAGTCAAAGTTGAAAGTAAGGCACAGGAAGCTGAAAAGCCTTACTCATGACATGCCAGATAATTTAGGAATAGAGCATGTGTCTCACATTTAAGTCTAGGTTTGTAGCTATTAGGCTTTACTACTTCCTTTTTCTTATAGATAAGCAGTTAATAGATGTTAATAGGAAAACAGGTATTTCTTCACTGACATGTATCTTTGGTTTATGCTTTTTATTCTGCATTTATTCAGGATTTTGACATAACTGGTAATACACTATGGGCAATTTCAAGAAAAGAATAAAATCGGCAGGTGCTTGCCTTACATTTTGTTTTCATTTTCGGATTTTTTTTTTTTTTTGCCTCTCCTGCATAAGTGTTTTCCTTCCTTTTTGCTTTATACGAGTAGGAGTTAAAAATGAAAAATTCATATAAACATCACCACAATGTGACTTGATACAATTAGCTCTTCGGTTTTACTCAGCTGAATGAAGCAAGCTTTGGTTTTTGTTCAGAATGATAAGTGTTTCTCTTTCCATGGACAAATACTTGCTTTCTGTCTTTTTGTTGCCGATGGTCATTGTGATAGTAGTTACTTCTTAGTGCAGAATGTGAGAATGCAGATTATTGTGCTTTGACAGATAACTTTTATCACTTCTGGTTGTGGTTAATGGACAAATGAAGTTGGGAGCCTTCAGTGACCAAAACAACCCAAGCAAAACCAGACAAACTGATACTTCTGGATTTTATTTATAGGGAAAATTCCAAAGAAGACCAAACTTTCTGAAGTTTAAAGGTGACGTACAATATATTTTTATTAGCTTTAGATTTCCTTAGGTTTTACTGCCATTTATCATATTAGGCTCTAGACGCTTTGATTTTGCTCATTGGAAAATCCATTATTCATACACTGGTAGCCGAGAAGAAATTTTTATTCTAAACTTCAGTTGGATGTGGTAACTTTTCTGTAACATTACAATTCTCAAATGCCTGCTGCAGAGATGAGGACCTGTTGTACTTAATTATACTCAGGTATGTTATGCATTCTGTCTGTGACAAAGAAAATGTGTTCTTTTCTCAATGGAAATGTTTGAAATCTGACATGATATATCTTAAATCATGGAAAGTAAATGAGAATATAAGACTTCTGTGTTTTGGGTAAGAAAAATATACACACAGACTTTGCAAAGTTACTGAATCTTGACACAGAGATACTGTGTGGGTTTTAGAAAGGAAGTGGCTTATTTCAGGGAAAAATGTGTCACCAGCAATGAAAAGCTTTTTAAAATCCTTTGAAATACATTTTTGAGATTCTCCTCATACACCTACACTGGAAAAAGTGACACTCCAGGCTTTTTCTGA